CATATAATCTCCCTGGCTTACTGAGTGCAGGGTGGTTTGTGGATGACCTGTTCCATGACCTTCTACAGTAAAAAGAAATGGTCCCAGTGGTAATTGAAAAACACAATTAGCACCATTTAGTTCTAAATATCAAAGCTGGGAATTTTTTCTAAGTGCAGCTTTTGTGTTTTGCACTAATTATACTAACTTCTTGCCTTTTAACTGCAAATCAGTTGTCTTTCTTTGCCTTTAGACAACAATTCTGATGGCAAAAGAACCAAACGGGACAGGCAGAAAAACAAAAAAACAAAAAAAACCTGCAAATCAGTTTCATTTTATTATATTTTATTATAGCACTGAAGCACCGCAGCAATTTCCTAATGTTGTAAACCTGCTCAACATTTGGCAATAAACTGATTCTGATTCTGATCTAATCTGTTTTAATACTTGGTTATGGACGTCATTGCTTCGTCTCAGGCTGTGCTTATAGATTCATTTCATTGACATTTATCTAAGTAATACTGAACAGCAAACTCCCTTTAGGCCAGATTATGTCATAGCCCTTGATGACTTTGACTCTACAGACTTCACAGTAGCTTCAGTGACGTTATTTCTGACTTCTGTTGTTATTTGGCCTTAGTTGCACCGACAGTCTAGTTAATGTGTTTTATCTTTATTGGAAAAGTGATTTGTATCTTAGTGAAACTACCTGATTAAATGCAATTTAATCAGCTTGGGAGGATTGTGCAATATCGGATTATTACATATGAAAGTGTGTGTGTGTCCTTCACAATTTTATTTGACTGCTTGTTTTTTATATTTCATGCTTGACAAAACATGTATTGTGATGTGTTCAGTGTTTTTTTTAGAGCTCTAATAGACTACAACTGTAACTGTACAGCACCTCTTATTACAAGCTAAAGTCTCTACAATATAAGAAGGAAAAGCCTAACAATCAAAAGATCTCCTCACTTGGCGACAGTGGGGAGGAAGAACACTCCAGCAGAAGCAGGCTCAGGGAAGGGCCTGACTCCCAGATTACTTACGATCTAACTGGATACCAGGTAATGTCATCCAGAAGCATTTCTGGTTAGATGCTATGTTTCTAGGATTTTTAGGGCCAAACAGTAATCTCACTCATTTCTTTGTACTGACTAGGTTCTGTATTTAAATATCAAGTGTCTCGTGTTCAATGCACTGTAATTGTTCAATGACAAAGTGAGACCTGACATCTTTGCTTCATACATTGTTTTCCAGCACCTCTACTCTATGACCACATACACTTCAGCTCAGCATGACTAGCCAGTGATCAGCCTCTAATCAGTAAGTCAGGGAGAAATTAGCTTCCTCTCCTCATGGCAACATGCAATGTTAGGGGTGGCTGTAGCTCAGGTGGCAGAGCAGGTCAGCCACTAATCAGAAGGTCGGTGGTTCGATCCCAGGCTGCCTCCTGGCTGCATGCCAAATATCTTTGGGCAAGATACTAACCCCATGTTTGCCTACTGGTGGTGGTCAGAGGGCCCGGTGGCGCCAGTGTCCGGCAGCCTCGCCTCTGTCAGTGCGCCCCAGGGCAGCTGTGGCTACAATGTAGCTTGCTATAGCCAGTGTGTGAATGTGTGTGTGAATGGGTGGATGACTGAATGTAGTGTGAAGCGCTTTGGGGTCCTTAGGGACTAGAAAAGCGCTATACAAATGCAGGCCATTTACCATGCAGGAATGGCTTCATCAGTTTAGAGTCAGGGTAAAATGGCTAAACGGTTAGTTTTATGACCAGACCCTTTAAAATCTAAAAGCACAGATTTACTTAGAAATGACAATAACGACACTTTCATTACAGTTTCCTAAACGATGTCAGCAATTTGTCCCAAAAACTAGGCCACCGAAATCAAATAGAGCCCGTGCTTTTTAATGGTGTCATACACGTCAGAATACCTGCTAAGACAACACTTCTGCACAGCTTTCTGGCTTCACTTCATGACTTCACCAAACAGTGATGACACAGCAGGTGTTTAAGCAGCTGCTAAATCACTTTCCTTCAGGACTTCAAAAGACTGCACTGTTCTCCCATTCACCATTAGCAAAAAAAAAGAAAGAAAAAGCACTAACCCAAGAACAATGATGAGGCAAGTTAAAAGGAAAAGTATCCGAGCGCTGATTGAAACTGCACCTCCAAGTGAATCCAGCATCTTTCTTCCTGTGAATGCCAGCCAGTTGTTTCCTAATAACTTTTATTTGATAGTGCAGTATTGAAGGGTGGATAGGAGGGAGTGGAGAGAGACTTGGAGAGGACATGCCGCTAAGGAACACAGGTTGTTAATGTATATGGTCACCTTCTCAGGGAGTTTTGCAGTGAGGTAAACTGGCGCCCCACTGACTTCTTTTTTGTGTATGTAGGAAATGTTTTTTTGTGTGTACTTTGTTTATTGTATGTGAGATCTACAGCAATGACCGCTTCTATAATATTTTCCCAGGGGTAGGGAAGATTTCTTAAAGTTGACGTTTGGACTTATTTACTCTGCTTTGTTTCCTCTGTCAATGAGCATTGTAAATAATTTGTCTTTAATTGGAAATATATGTTGTGATACTGAGGCATGAAGTGCAGGCAGAGTGCCTTTTCCAGGGAACTCCATCAGTTTATTTTCCACTCATCAAAGTCTGTCCCGAGTGGAGAGCTCCTGAGTGAAAGTGCTAAAGGCTACAGTACAAACTCCATCCTCCCATGCCCAGCTTTACAGCAGCAGTGCAACATCTACAACATACAGTACAGCACTTTGTTAACCAGGCTTGCTAGAAATAGGTGATAACTTAATTAGCACTCCACTATATCGTACACTACCTCATGTTATCAAATGCACTTGATTAATTGACCATAAGTGTGAGCAGAAGTTTGCAGTTTTATCTATTATCAACTGTTGAGCACGGTAGTGGTGTTGATTTTGGCTCATTGGCAATCACAGAACGTGCAAATTTGAGACATTTAAGCAAACTATTTACTCATATAAAGAATTCTAGACTGAAATGTGAGCTAACCTGACATCTAAAGCTCGTCTGAAACTGGGTCATGCAACAGGACAATGATACCAAACACAGCAGCAAATCTACAGCGACACGGTTAGAAAAGAAAAGAATCAAGATGTTGCAATGACTCCGTCAAAGCCTGGACCTCAGTCTGATATAAAGGTGATGGCGGGAGCTGTGTTTAAACTCATTTCAAACTGGGCCATGTGAGAGACTCATAAAATGATTTACTTTCAAGCTGCTGCTGCTAAATGTTGCTGTACAAGCTATTGAATTATGCTTAGTTTTTCACAGCACTGCATGCTAGTAGTTTTTTTGTAGCTGTACAAAGAGCTGCATGAAATCTAATAAAACGACACAAGTTTGACTGAATGTGGATCTGTGTGCGACAGATGTGCCGCCATTCTTTTTTCTGACGTGAAATATCAATCTCATCTTTTTCCCCTTTCTTTTGAACCTCCAGCGAGCAGTGCAGCAGCAGGTTTCCTGAGATGCAGTTTCACTCTATTCACCCATTGAAGAGCATCATAAACACTGAGCAGGAATCAGAATGCCACAAAGTTTAGGTGTAAAATGGATTTTATCACATTCACATTGCAATAAATCTCAATTTGATAACTTTATATGATACATGAGGTGGGGGGGGCTGACATACACATGTTCCTTCAGTACATTATTTGCATTTTAGAGTGTTCTGTATATATACTTGTTTACAACAGCTGCTAAATACTGATTAAAACTCTCCTGGAAAATAAGCTTTTAATGGTGCACTCACTTTTCAGGAAAAAAACCCCGCACGTTTAAAAGAAAATACTGTTGAGACTGCATTTGTTCTAATAACTGAATTAACGTACCGTAGAGTGGTTTATTTTTTCTTTGGGGGGGAAAGGAGGACAATTTGGAATATCAGTCAGTGTTTGTGATCTGAATTCCTTGCAGGTGGGTAAATCCGGCGTCATTACGAGCTGGCAAACGTCTCCTGTGATCCCGGTCATGAGCGGGAACCCTAAACACGAGCACGCACCAAGACAAGACGGGCACACGGTAATGTGTCAGCTCTGTCAGAGCCGTCGAATTATTTAGCACTTGTGCAGATGAAAGTGTAATGGGCTCACACTGAATGTGCAAATGTAAATATTCTTCTCAAGTGTCAAATGCGGCAAAACGACTGTAAATGAATACGGGCGAAAGTCTTAAGTAGCGCGGCGTAAACTCTACAAGGCAGCTGGATCGGTCATTAGTGAGTGACAAGCTGTGTAGTACTGCTGTGACGAACCTACACGAGCGCACGAGAGGGAAGTTTTCTTTAGCATTTCCAAGACACAAAACACGATAAAACTTTTAAAAACTAGAAGTCTTTTAAACATAAAAAGTGTGTATTAATATCACCAAGTACTGACTTCCATCCAATATGGACCTAAAGAAAAATAAATCTCCCAAAAGAACCCAAACAAAACACATCCGAGGCATCCAAAAAAATAAAAATGAGACACCATAAACAGAACATATCAACCCAAATATCTGAGCATCATTTGAAGCATACATCATGTCTTAACAACATAAAACAATGGAGTGTACAGGTTATTAATAGCTATTTGTGACTCCGTATTTACACTTCATAGTGAATCTCTGAAGAACAATAAACATTTCGGCACCTGAAAAGGCGGAAGGGAAAAAAACAAGACACGGATGCCGCACTGACGTGATTCGATCAGCTGAACAAACCCACAAAAGCACAGATCGGGTCATGTGACTCTTCATCTCAATAAAAATAAGTGGATTTCTTGATCAATCATTTTCACCTATAATTCTCTAATACTATGTTGAAAAATAATGCATTCAATGAAAATGTTCCTGGTGGATAGTCATCCTTTCAACACACACACACACACACACACACACACACACACACACACACACACACACAC